TCTTCTGCTGTTGTAGCCCATCCGCCTCAAGGTTGTGCGTGTTGTGGCTTCACAAATGCTTTGCTGCATACCTCGGCGGTTGTAACGAGTGGTTATTTCAGTCAAAGTTGCTCTTCTATCAGCTTGAATCAGTCGACCCATTCTCCTCTGACCTCTAGCATCAACAAGGCATTTATATATATATATATAATATTTGAAACAACCAGTAGTTATAAGTAGTAGTACAAAATTGAAATTCAAAGTATAGTTCTATAATAGCTGATTTAGGAATGGAATATATGTATTAAGCAATCTGATTAGTATTCTGGGGATTTAACAAACTGGAAAAGCAGAACAATCTACATTTTGTTAATTCTAGACTTCATAATGAAGCAGCAAAATTACTAATTACAAGAAGTCTTATCTTCCAGATAAAATAGAAATGTAAAAGGCAAACATCATTGGGTTTAAGAATCATTATATTAGACTGGGTAAGTTTAATATTCAGTGTAATTTGTCTATGAAGTATATGGAGGCTGTTAAAATTAATAAATCTTCCTGTATACACAGACCTTGGTGCTAATCAAGCAGCCTCTTTCTCTTATCTCACTGTTACAAGATCAAGGTTGCAAATTAAATATGTCAGTACCTCTGTGCTCTTACATCATTACTGTCATGGTATCAGACAGCAGACCTATCAAGCCTCTCAAAGTGAAAGAGGAATGGAAGTTCAAGGAGATTATTTGTGTATTTGTGTGTATTGTGTGGCACTTGTGAACAACACCCACAATGACATGAAAGTAAGACATAACAGTATTTCCTTCTTTTTATATATTGTATTGCATACAATTTAACAGTTTTTGCAAAATGAATCAACATTGTTCATATAAAGGATTATTTAAAAACAACTTGTGCCAAGAGTAGCCATGATATGTACAGATTTTGGAGGAAGGTCAGATGCCTAGTGGCATGGTCATTTACTTAATTACTAATTTGTTCTTTAGAAGTATATCAAAAGACTATGATTATACCATCATGCAACACAAATATTATATTTTGCCAAAATTGTGTGCCTTCCATTTTAACATTTTACCTTGTACATCCTTTGCAACCTTGTTTACAATATACTGCTAGATTATTAGGCAGATCAGCTAAAATAAAACAGAAAATGCCAAAAGCATTTTTCTTTCCGTTCCACCTTAACTCATTCTTAAAATATCTCTCTCAATCATTCAAGAATAGCAAAACATTTATAATCAACTACCTTATATTTAAATTTTAGTCGTTGCTATCCAAAGGTTTCAGTCACTACATTACATGCTGTACAGAACTGTTTGATCTAAACACAATAAATTTTGAAAAAAAAAAAAAAAAAAACATAAACCAATGGTTTACCACAATTTTAAGCATGATAATACTATATGATATAACAGAACATTTACAGTCCTGCTTTGTAGAATTAGTTGTCAATTTTGTTCAATAAAATCAATTTAGTACCAAATCTTTTATGAGGTTTTGCCACTGAAGAGTGGGCACTCCTGAATCTGAACTTCCACACTGTTCTTAGGTGGATGCACAGTCATGCAGCAGGCTCGAATTCCACCCAAGGGCTCTAGAATATGGAACATTTTCTCCCACACATCACCTTCAGGGTCATAGCGCTGTACTACATCTACCATGCAGCGGTTATTCCATGAATACCCCCCAACCACATACACATAACCCTGAAAAACAGTCACGCCAACATCACTCTGGCCACGAGGCATGGGTGCAACACTAGTCCATTGGTCTGTTGCAGGGCTGTAGAACTCACAGCTTAGCACATCATCGTAATCACTGACACCCCTAAAGTGGTTTCCACCCATAACGTAGAGGCGGTCTCCGATGGTGCACATGCAGTGCAGACCACGCAATGTGGTCATATCTGCTCGTCGGCTCCAGCTGTCTGCTTCTGGGTCATAGCACCACAGTTCCTTCTGGAAGGTATCCCGTGTTATACCCCCTTCAAAAAAAAAATTGCACGCATTAAATGATCTGAATTACCTTAAAACACAATTCACCCCTTCAATTAAAACTAGTTTGGGTGATTCTGAAGTTTTTCAAGATTGCTATGCTTTATAATTCATCTATCCATCTTCCAAGCACTTCTCCTGCTCAGGGTCAGAGGGTGGCCTGGGGCCTCTCAGAGGCAGCATAAAGCCCTAACTTACAAAGACACTCCAGCAACTTATGTTTTGACATTACAGAAACACAAAATAATCATAATTATAACAGACAAAAGACTGGCTGTCTTGTGCAACAGTAAAAGAAATTTTCCAAATTTTCCTTAATTTGGCCTTTTTTTACTTCTTTACTTCTTAAGTTGTTTTTTTTTCAGTTTGGGCACTGGTCCCGAAATTTTTAAGCCCCAGGTGGGTCACATCGTAGTGCCTCGATGACTAGAATATTTTCTGCAGTAGAAAATGGAAAAAACTCACCAGAAACATACATAAGATCTCCATGAACTGTCCCAGCATGCCCATAATGTGGCTCTGTCATTGGTGATACAAGTGTCCATTCATTTTGACTGAGGCTGTAGCACTCCACAGTGTCTGTACATGCAAAGATATGATACGTTGTGTACACATGAACACTACAAATGGTATGTTTCTTAGACTTTGTTGATAAATATACTTTGTATTCTTTATTTTAAATTATGTAAATTACCACGTAAATAAACCAGCATCTGTTCAACAATGAGAAAACTACATTATAAAAGTTCTATTTGTGTCTATTTCTCCTTTCACTCAATATATATGTATGATATAATATATGGTTATTCTAATAGGCCAATTGTATATAAACTTAATTTTTAATAGCTTTGCTAAATGGGATTCTAACATCCATCCATCAATCATTCCATCTTTTAAGAGCTAAGCCAGGTCAGAATGTTATAAAATTGCTGGTATGAACTACCCTGTAAATTTGCTTTTGCCCCTGGTTGGTGAGAGCAAGACCCCAGAGCCAATTCCAGGGAGCATATAGGATGTTGGTCAAACATAGCCAGTGCCAGTTGAAGCCCATGTGGAGTTCTAGGCAAATTTCCCTGATGACACATCAACCCCCCAGGGGAAATTTCAAGTCAATTTCACTTCGCCTCGGGGGGTGGAGGGGCTGGCAGGGAGTGCCCCCTAAGAAGATGCCAAGGCGACCACCTATGTCACCTATGGGATTGACCAGCTCTGGTCAAAGGGCACATACAACACACACTCAAACACACACTCCTGCTCTACAGGATGGGCAATTTAGTGATGCCAGTTAGCCTGACTGCATGTCTTTGGACTGCAGGAGGAAACTGGAGTACCCAGGGCGTACTTGCACAGCAAGAGAAGACGACACAAACTCCTCATACACAGAGTGGAGATGGGATTAAGCAAAAATGCAACAGGATGATGTATTTATGATTTTATCACTTTGACCATTAGCGAGTGAGCAGTGGTTTACAAAATTACGTATAATTATAATTTATCTACATTAATTTTTACTCAGTTCAGTATCATATCATATATACACATATTCTAATCAAAGTTTTAAGTAAAATAACAATCTAACAAATATTGTTAAAAATACTACTATACAATTAACTACAAAAATTATCAGCTGAGCTAATCAATCAAAATTGACTTAATATGTTTTCTCAATGTATTAGTTTAGAAACAAATTTAGAAACATCTCACCAATCTCTCCGCTGGCATTCCTGCCCCCCACAGCATACAGTTTGCCCTTGAGCGCACTGAGGTGAAAGAAGGTCCTCTTTTCATTGAGAGAGGCCAATTGCAGCCATCTGTCAAAACGGGGATCATAGCGATAGACAGTATCTACTGCTGTTTTGCCCTTGGTGTCATAATTATCTTGGCCTCCTACAATGAATAAAAAGTTACCAATGAGGGCAACACCATGTTGATAACGTGGGCCATCCATAGGCCGCAGAGCTTTCCAAGCTTGGGCCTCTTCATCATAGAGACGCAGCTCCTTGCTGACCACTAACTGTTGCCTCATCACCCCTCCCAAGACCAACAGGTGGGTGGAATTAGAACGGATGCATGTACGCTCCGTCTGCAAGGCTGGCTGCAGAAAGGGCATCATCTGGTAGTTGCTGGCTTCTAACAGGAGGTTGACGCAATCAGTGTCAGCACGGAGAGAAACATCTTCCTGGGAGATCTGCAGAAGTTCTGCTGGGCTCATTAGAGGAAAGCGTACTTTACTCATTAGGCTAAAGGTATGCTGTCGGTGGCTGACGGGGTCACAATCCAGCCATGCACGAACCACCTTGTACAGTGCCATCTCAGAGAAACCCTTGAGAGCATCATTAGCTAGAGCATACTCCATGGTTGACTGGGAAAGCTTCAGGTACATGTCGCTTTTTACCAGATCTGAGAAGTTCTGCAGAACAAACTCATTGATGCACACTTGAACCTCTTCCAGATGAAGGTTACTGGCAATGCGTTCCACCTCTGCACAGTTGTCTATAGTAATCTGAGAAGATGAAGATGATATTTAAGACATTTATAAATGCTATCGCTGTTATGGTAGCAGCGTGGCAGACTGATTTAAAATTAATGTACATATCAACGTATCCTTCAGAGATTAAGTCATTTGGATGCCCCTAACTGTTATAAACTGTTCTCTTTCTTCCATTAACATCTAAAAGTAGATTGGGTGCTGTCAGAAATGGCAGCATTGTATTCCACAGACAGCCCAGTCATTTGGTCAGGCTATGTAAGTCATACTCGTCCCACACTCACCAACTTATACAATTTCCAGAGAAACTGGATGGATCCCCTGGAAATGTAAGAGTTAAGTGTATTTTTACCTAAATACTGTGAGCCAGCATTGTGATATATAGGTGTGAGAGTATACTTATTAATTTATTGCACATTATATGACAATTTGTAGAATCTTTCTCCACCAAATAAGTGGTTCCTTTGTCTATGTTTTAATGTGCATGTCTGAAAATGTTATTTAAACTATTCATATTTTTCAATAATTATTCAATAATTTTTCAAGTTTCAATATTTAAATTCTATTTATTTCTCATTTGCACTGTGGCCAAACTTTTCATTGACATAAAAGTAAGAACTACTACAAATACACTAATGCTAGGTTTATACTAAAGAGGTATTCAAACAGGATCAAGGGTGAAAATATTTTTGCTATTACTATGGGGTGTTGCTTCAATTTTGGAGTGATCTGTCTCAAAATTTAATCAGTTCCATGCTTGCAAATCCTTTAACATCTTTGCAAAATTGGAAAAAGATCCCCCCAATGGTTATTGAGTTATTGTCTTAAGGGGATCGTGCCTTATTTTCATTATGCGGCACAACACTTTTGCACAATCTATCTGAAAATTTCATCAGTTTTAGCTTCTCACCCATACAATGCCTCTGCAAAGTTTTAGATCTGTCAAACCATTTTTGAGTTACTGGCTCACATACCAAAGTGTCTGCGGTGGTGGTGGAACGGTGCTAAAACCATATGTAGGGCAGGGAATATAATTACGCTAGCCGTATAACAACAAAATAGAAACATTATCAGTACCAGAGGCCTGGTTAGGCCTATTTTAAGGGGGCTTTAGCCTCCCCAAAATAAATGTGTATTTATTTGCATGAAAAAGTCATGAATATCTTTTTATATTATATATGTTTGGCATCGCCCCCCATAGTAAAGACCCTCTATCCATTTAACCCTAACTACACCCCTGATCAGTACATTACCTCACTGCTGAGCAGCTCTTTGCAGAAACCCAGGACAGAGAGCACCTGCAAAAAGCTGGCAGCTTCCAAAGTGTCCTGCAGACTGGCCAGGCTCAGACTGACACTACCAGTGTAGATGAAAGAAATGATATTCTTCAGTCCAAGTCCTTTCACACCATGCAGCTTTATCACCTGTAATTCCCGCTCTTTCATTCCACCTATATGTAAACCACAATGTAAGGATGTAAAAGGTCAGTTTGTATTAAACTGATCAATTAAAAGGGCAGTGATAAAACTATGTACATGTTTATATTGGGATAATAATTACTGGAAAAAATAATTCCTAGCTTAATGACATATAGGAATAGCGACTATGTAATATATGTAGCCCATGGGAACAATAGGATTGACATTTTTGGGGATTTCAATGCAAAGAAATCAAGATTATTCCAGAAAAGCAATCCCTAACTCTAACTCAAAACCTAATAATAACTTAAGTGTCTTTAATGTTATTTACCGTGCCCTTTAATACAGAAGTATTTTTGCATGACATCACTTACAAAAGTGCACTATGATGTGTAATAAAGGGTTCTGTAACAGTATTTATCAAGTTCCTAATAGGCTGTTTTTTTTTTAATCAAAACAGGTTTTTCAGGTATTAGATTAGCACTAACTAATAGAGATTTACTTGATTACTCCTTGATTACTAGCTGCATATAAAACATTGATATGGAATTCCAAGGATATGGCTGAACTTAAGAGTGTTACGGGTCCAAACAATCCAATTTTCACACTAGCAACAGATAGAAATATTTATTTGGTTTCAGAGAAAGATTGGTTAGGTGTTGTTCATAATTTACTTTTTGTAATATCTTATTATACAAATGACTTGGTTTAACAAAAGCTGAAAATAGTATAATTAAAACTAGGGATAACAGTCTTGAATCACCCATTAACTGCTTATCAAGTTACTGTGCAATAGAAGCCAAAGCCAGGGAACATAGAGCTTAAGAAATTCAACAATTTAGAAACAGCATTTATCTAAATAGGATATTTTCAGACTGCATAAGGGAAACTCAAAGAAACGCTTGTGATTCTTAAAGCAATCAAATTACCTGTAAACATAGCTTTAAAGTAGTCACTGGCTGAAGACATAATAACTCTGTGCACTGGGAAGGTTTCATCGCTGTCACCTGGCACCAACGTCACATCACATAGAGTCGCATTTAAACGGAACTGCTGAAACCCCTTGCAGTTAGGTGAAGAAATACATCTTCCATCAACTTAGAATAGTTCTTGCATATCACACAGACACTGAATGGTTGTAATAGCTTATACGAAACGAAAATGAGCTTCATTAAAATGCAATACACGTATGTACAAAAAGGAACTACATCTATAATCCTGTATTATCAAGAAGATAATTCATCTATGCATGTACATTGATTACAGGCCCTACGTCACATATGCAGTTTACTAGCCAGTGCATATCTTTGGTAGAATGAAAGATCAGTGGTGAAAGAACAAAATATCTAATGAGAATAAAATCTGCTTTAATCTGGTGATTAAACTTAATGAATACATTGTAGGAACTTGTGCAAACCAGTTTTTCTTTTTTTATTCGTAGATGGGTGCTGATTATCAAAATGATACAGTAATTCCATACTTATAAATACTGCAAGACAGTGTTTCTCAAGCTGGTTGCCAGGGACCCCCAGATGGTCTATGATGTTAATGCCTCCCAACTGCCTGCCGGGCAGAGCCTCAATGACCAGGCTTAGAAACACTGCTGTAAGAATCAAAGTCTCAAATTCTCTGATTTTGGTACAACTTCATCTGTTTATTAAAAGACAACCAGTACCTGTAAGATGGCGTGTCCATGTTCGTCACTGCTGAACACTTTGGTGTCACATTTAGGGACTGGAACATTGTATTCAGTTTTGGAGTTATTTGCAACTGAGATAGTGGGTTTGGTAGATGGAACAGGGGGTCTATAAATGGGAGCTGCTTGCCCTTGAGGATGAAGAGTTTCCCGGGACGCCCGTCTGCTTCCCATTCGAGACAACCTCCGTAGCAAGTTTCCCTCTTCTCCACTGCTCCTGGAACCCCCCCGAAAAAAACAACAACAGTGCAACACAAAGGCAAAGAGAGACAAACTTGTCTTGGCTATTGATGTGCCAATGAAAGAACCGAAGTTGAATTTCCCAGTAATCCTATGTGGACAGTTTATAATCATCAGAAAACTTGGTTTTACATACATGCAGAAAATGTATTTCATGCTTTTAATGTTTAAATTGGAAAACAGTTGGGGAAAAGTTCATAATATTAAAATACATTGCATAATCATTTTGCTAACTGACAAATATTCCAGGCTTTTTACAGATGTTTTTCAATGTATTTTTTGTTCAGATTTAGCTATTACTACATTGGATTTTAAAGAACTCACCCATCTCTTCGGACTATTTATCAGGTGTTCCTGAGGTGCAAGTGTTAAAATAGCATTTTCAGTATCACAAACATAACACCAACAACAAATGGCAGCAGGGTGGCAAGGAGGCGTAGCGGCGTTTCCTCTCGGGTTGGAGGTTTTGAGGGTTTCACATTCATTCAATATCAATATACTTGCATGTTGCAGGTTTAATGACATTCAATTTACATTTCCTTGTAGTCAAAATAGAAAATTATGAAAAAACAGAACATGTTTTAATATAATTTAGATATTAAAAGAAGCTACAACAAAGGACATGTTCTTTTGTTTTGGAAAGGCTTGTTTTTGCATGGCAGACTGGATGGAGCAGTTGTATTTGTGATTATTTATTGGACTTGAATATGCAACTTCATTTTAAAAAATATTTTACGGGCCAGTAAAAATAGCCCCATCTGGCCTGTGTGGCTGTTTTGCCCACGTCCGCATTACATCAATATCCGGTTCCCAACTAAGTTGTATTCATATATCTTTCTAAAGAACAATGGATTTTTGCAAAATAATTTTGAAATGAAAATACATGTAACAGCTGTACGAGATTCCTGATATCGTGTAGTATTCATTGTTTCACTTAACTCTATTTTAGTATAACGTATTTATCATCAAATGCTTAAAGCTATCTTTGCTTTCCTTTGTCTCTTTTCTTCGGCCCATTTGGCCCTGAGCTAACATAAGCATCTGGATTCAATCCAGCTTGCAACAAAGTCTAGGAGAAGAAACAATGCATTGGCAGGATCCACTGTATAGATGGTGTCTTCATCTTAGGCTGAATGATAAACAATATTGCAGCTCCTCTCTTCAAAAATATATAACACTCACTCTGCAGCATGATTACGTTTTCATCTATAAGCAGTGTTCAGTGTTCTCTAAACTAAAATCTAAGTTTGTCTTTACATGCTTTCATTTTAAAAGCTGTGTTATATGCACATAAGCACGTAAAGAGATATAAGGAAGATAAACAAGAATCTTACCTTAAAGCAAACAATTTTCACTGTTTTGTACTGAATTTCGATGAAGTTAATTTAAATTGATGGATGTCCTACAAAGCTTTATACAGTCCTTTGTTTGCCTACAACCTACAAAGATACAATGTTCCACTCTGCTGAAATATGTAAACCTCTCTCATAACGGAACTGTTGTTCTGCATTTACCACTGCCTAACAGTCTTACTTCCTGTGTTACTTCTTCCCCTTAACTGCTTTGTCTAAGATATGGGCTTCAAAAGTAATCTCTTTTAGGTCCCAAGATAAATAAAATGAACTATTATCCATCTTAGTTAAGCAACTCTGCTTTGCTGAACAAAGCGCTGCACAATTTGGCTAATATAGAACATCATTTAATTGAAACTGACGGAAAAAAATTCACTTTCATTTAAAAATAATCATTGTTTTGCCCTGCCACCCAAAGTACTGCTGCTGATAAAACATTTTTAACCCTAATGGCCAATTGCAATATGCATTCTGAAATTTCACATTAGCAAAACACTGACAGGAGACTACAGGAGTTTATTTTTAGTACTATTAGAGCATTAGAAATGCTGCAAAAGAAGCTGAAGTTTAGTTCCTTACTGCTGGTTTTGTGGTTAACTTATGCAAAGCAAGTGTGGCTACATATGCAGACCATTTTGCTCCTTGGCAGATTTAAAGGAACATATCACATACAAGAGAAAAAGTCAAATACATTGTATACAAGGAAGGAATGTTAGAAATGCATTAATCAATTTTAAAAATATATTGCATACACATTTTATGATGTATATACATATAAAGTAAGCAGGAACATTGTGTATATATATATCAACACACCCATGGGAGGACTATGAGATTAATATGAAGTGCTTTGCTTGCTTAAGTGATCCACAGTGACAAGCAGTAAGAAAAACTATTTTTATTAGGTGTTGTCAAGACCTAGTGACTACAGAGGCAGAGTTGAGTCCAAATTGAACATAAAAATTTACCCATGTCAAAGTCAGGTACAGAAACAACAGAGTAGCTTGTCTGGACCAGGATTACTTCAGGACCACCACTGAAGTCAGGCATGGGGGCCTGACCACCTGCCTAACCTGATAAGGCAAAGCCCAAAATAGCAACACATTGGCCCACAAAGAAGAATAAAGGTGTGGGTCAGGTGGCTTTCTGGTAGCAAGCATCATAGAGGACCCAGACGCTGGCAATGGACACCAGCCTTGGGAATGTAAAAAATGATCATTCTGGCAGGGAAGGATCCTTAGTGCAGAAGATTGAAAATCATCTGCTAAATAGTTCACCTTACCTTTGACTTGTACTTGTGCATTTAATCTTGTTTTTGCCGTGGTTTGTTAGGTTTCATCAACACGGTTATCAAGCATGATCATCAAGTATTTCTAAGCAGTTGGGCTCCTCAGCATATACTAGTTACACATTCAAACCTGCTACAATGAATGCCAGGTTCTACCTCCAAGACACCCCTTGCATACATAAACAATAGACAATTGTCTAATTGTCAATTGTGAAAATTTGGTTAATAAACTAACTGCCACATGGCCTATGTTTTATTTTCAAAAAGGAACCTGACTGTGGGATCCACAAGTCAACATACCCCACCTTAGAGAAATATGGTGAGGTTTGCGGAAGCAGTAACAATGAGCTGTGGCTTAAGAGCTACTGGAGGACACCAGTGATGTGAAATTGAAAAAGGAAGCCTTTGGGGAAATGCTTTCATGGAGGTCTATTTAGCTAGCAGAGAGGTAGCAACAAGCTTGAAGGACTGTAGCTAAAATAACCAGAGCTGAAAGTTGCTTCATCAGAGGATTTCAGAGAAGCATTGGATCAAGACTACAAAAGACCTCAATGATTGAAGAAGAGATGGTGGGACCTGGCTCAGGCTGTGTTAAACAATAGAGGATGGGGAAGTGCTTAACACCATGGCTATTGTGGGAAGGATCACTTACACTTCTTAACACTGGGAAAATATCCTCTTGTAAGTGTAGAAATTTATACACAGATATTGAAGGTAATGAATGTTGTTTGGTGGACAAACCTCTTCAAAGTTGCATGTTGAATATGAGTGAAGTACTTGTGGTGATCCCTATTTTTAAAGAGTTCAACTATAAAGGAATAACACTTTCCAGACTCCCTGCAAAAACCTGTGCAAAGCCTAATCCAAATAAGACCTTGGTTCAATGTCAAGTATTTAGTGGCAGAGATGATAATCAGCATGGCCATGGTCCTCACCTGGAAAAGTGAGGTTGGAGAGTCTGCCTTTAGCAAAGACATTTATACACCATGGGATATTACTCATGAGTGACAGTAAAAGGTGTGGAAGAAAATTGTTATACGTAAGGTAGACTGATAATACAGATGTAAGTAACATAACATAACTAACAAAGGAAAATACTTTAAGGGGCCATGCAAGAGTAGTGAAAAATGCTGGCATTTCTAAAAGTATAGGTCATACAAAGGACAGAGCTGTGCAAACTGTCTCGGTGTCAGAAGAATACAGAATGTCTTGTAGAATAATATGTACAAAAGAGGATCCACATAGGAGACATGAAAAGGGAAACCTTTGTCTAGTGATCGAAAGTTGAGTGCATAAACATACACTATATTGCCAAAAGTATTGGGATACCCCTCCAAATAATTGAATTCAGGCGTTCTAATCACTTACATAGCCACAAGTATATAAAATCAAGCACCTAGGTAAGCAGACTGCTTCTACAAACATTTGTGAAAGAATGGGTCGCTCTCAGGAGCTCAGTGAATTCAAGCGTGGTACCGTGATAGGATGCCACCTGTGCAATAAGTCCACCCATGAAATTTTCTCGCTACTAAAAATTCCATGGTCAACTGTTAGTGATATTATAACAAAGTGGAAGCAATTGGGAACCAAGAAAGTGGTAGGCCACATAAAATCACAGAGCGAAGACAATGTGCATAAGTAGCCAACTGTCTGCAGGCAACAGCTACAGACCTCCAAACTTTGTGTGGCCTTCAGATTAGCTCAAGAACAGTGTGTAGATAACTTCATGGAATGGGTTTTCATGGCCGAGCAGCTGCATCCAAGCCTCACATCACCAAGTGCAATGCAAAGCGTCAGATGCAGTGGTGTAAACCACACCGCCACTGGACTCTAGAGCAGTGGAGATGTGTGCTCTGGAGTGACAAATCACGATTGTCTGGCAATCCGATGGACGAGTCTGGGTCTGGTTGCTGGGAGAAGGGTACTTGCCTGACTGCATTGTGCCAAATGTAGTTTGGTGGAGGTGGGATTATGATGTGGGGTTGCTTTTCAGGGTTTGGGCTTGGCCCCTTAGTTCAAAGCCATTTTGGACAATTTCATTCTCCCTACTTTGTGGGAACAGCTTGGGGATGGTTCCAAAATGACTACGCACCAGTGCACAAAGCAAGGTCCATAAGGACAGCGAGTCTGGTGAGGAGGAACTTGACTGGCCTGCACAGAGCCCTGACCTCAACTTGACAGAACACCTTTGGGATAAATTAGAGTGCCTGACCTCAAAAATGCTTTCACAAAAACACACTCCTACACTATATATAGCCTTCCCAGAAGAGTTGAAGCTGTTGTAGCTGCAAAGGGTGGGTCAACTCCAGATCCACATCCATCTGATGTATTAAGAATGGGATGTCATTAAAGTAAAAAGTAAAATGTAAAGGCAGGTGTCCCAATACTTCTGGCAATACAATGATCCCCCGCTATATCGTGGTTCAGCTATCGCGCCCCCGCTATATTGCAGATTTTTCCCCAACGCATCACAGTTCTCTGCGATGTGTGTATATATAAATATATATATACACATATACGTTACATATTATTATTATGCTCGACATCCACATATCATATATGTTTACAAACTGAGTTTTAATCAATTTACATGTGTTTAAATATGTGGGAGGGGTATTTTAAGGCTTAAACCATAAAAAAATGTTTATTTATACGGTCAATCTATATCGCGGATTTTCAACGTCACTTCCGCTATAGGCGGGGGATTACTGTATAGCAGGGTTCACCAACATGTTGCCCCCAGGATGCCCTCAAGGGCCACATGAGTCGCCTGCAGACATGTTTTAAAAATAGTACAAGTCATCAGTGAGCAGCGTCTAAAATTAAATGTTATCCTGCTGCTATTCTTCTTTAATCACATTTGCATTTATATAGATCTGAAAATGACAATATCTAAAAAAAAAAGCATTTAAAACATGTTTATTATACATGAATATAGACAAATTTAGGAGGGCGTTTCAAACTGGTAGCCCTTCGTATGGCTCAGTACCCGTGAGGTAGCTCTCAGTTTCAAAAAAGGTTGGTGACCCCTGCTTTATAGTGTGCCTGAGCTTAAGCAAGAATCGTTCAAATACACAAAATTTGATTTATTGCTTTGGAAGTGGAATAATATGGATAGGTAATCAATTCTGGTAACCAATTAAAATGAGTATACAAGAGATACTAAGCAAATTCAGGATTAACATATCACTGAAAATGTATAAAACCTGTAACCTACTGCAAATAGCCAAGCCACTGAGTGAAATCTCACTATTTGTGTGCAATGACAGGTTAGTTTATTCAAAGAAACTTGTATCTTGCAAGTTGTTCTATATTGGCTGCATGGTTGAAATATAATTTTTTTCTAACACAGAAGGAATGCAAGATTGAGAAACAGACCAGTCCATGGCAGAGAAATGGCAGATTGCCTTCAAATTGATGTGTAAAACTACCATTATTTGGTATGTAAATAGTTTTCTAGATACATTTTTATAAATGTGAAAAGAAAACTACAAACATTGGAATTGCATAATGCAGCCAGTAGTTGCTAAGAACCATTTAATACTTGATATAACAGAATGAAGCAAGAAGTTTCATACATAAGTGCAACAAAACACAATCTTGAAAACAGGCTGTTGCATCACAAACATGGAACTCAAATCAAACTGCGAAACAATTCTAGCTGTATAATCAAAATAAACTGCATGTTAAAGTCAGGTCCTGGGAGAAAAGGAAAAATAGGCATAAATCTGTTACATTTTCCGGGATGTGAAAGTGCTTCTGCTATTGTGTCAAATGAATAATGACATGCTGCGGGCTTCTTGACTCAGTCCTCTTCAGCTAGTCCTTTTTCTATTAGTGGAAGGTGAACCAGAGCTCCCACATCATTGTACAGCATTACAGCAATTTCAGGTCCTGTTGACTAGAGAAAGTTCTTATCTTTAGTCAAGTTTAGGGTATATTAGATATTTTAGTGAAATAGAAGATACTAATTGACTGTCAAATATACTCACCATGACACAAGCGGTAATTTTGCCATGCAGCAAGTCAATCATCTCGAGTACAGCCTTAATGCTCCATTCGGGGCAGTACGAGACTCTTTCCTTCTCCAGGTTGATATGAGGGGGCCTGAACCCAGTCACTTGTACTTTGACAGCTTTGCAGGGATACTGCAGCAGCTCAGAAGGGATCTGACGTAGACTTGGGGATCAGAAAATAGTGTCTTGTTTATATCCTTTAATGTACAATAAGAAATGCTCTTCATAATAAAAAGGGTATTGTGTCATGCATTTCACAGGCTGCTGCTAAATGGCATCAGACGGGATGCACATTATCCAAATAATTCTTGGTAATTAATTTGCATTTTAAGTAAAGGCATTAAGCCGCATCTTAGAATGAATGCTCGCATTAATAAAGATGATACCAAGGACCTCACCAGGACCTGGTCACCAAAAGACATGTCTTCTACTGCAT